ACCAAAAACGGCAAACAATTCACGAGTGTACCCCATCTGCTCAATATTTTTTCGTAATTGTACGCTGGCATGAGGATTATGCCCGACATCCAAAATGACCGTAGGCTGACCCGCAAATACTTGAAATCGCCCAGGCAAGTTTACCTGTGCTAACCCTTGACGAACACTTTGTACGCGTAGCGGCAAATCGGCTTTGAGCTGTAATAAGGCGGCAATGGCGATGGCGGCATTATCGAGTTGGTGACTACCTCGCAAAGCGGGATGTGCTAAGCCATAGAAGTGACCTTGGGTACTTCTAAAATCCCATTGATGGGTTTTATCGAGTTGATGTTGCACTACCCAAAAATCTTGATCTAAACTAAACAAAGTGGCATTTAGCTGTGCGGCCACTTGCTTAACCGTTTCGGGGGGGTGGCGATCACCACAGACCACTGCTTGGTGTGGGCGCATAATGCCTGCTTTTTCAAAGCCAATTTGTTCTCGAGTGTTGCCTAAATAAGCCTGATGATCGAGATCAATGGAGGTGATCACCGCACAATCGGCATCCACGACATTCACAGCGTCTAATCGCCCCCCCAGCCCCACTTCAAGTACCCAAACAGCTAAATTCAACTTCGAAAAAGCCACCAAGGCTGCTAGGGTGGTAAATTCGAAATAAGAGAGCATGAGGTCACATGCCAAGCGTGCCTTTTCGACTTGGACAAAGGCCTCTATGATGGCATCGTCATGTAAAACCTGTCCATCGACATTCATCCGTTCATTAAAAGTCAATAAATGTGGCGATGTGTACAGTCCTACCGAATAGCCCCCACAACGCAAAATTGTCGACAAATATTGACAAACACTGCCTTTGCCGTTGGTTCCTGCGACCGTAATAATTTTGGCAAATACAACGATGGCGAGCTCCTGCCAAACCGTTTTGACCCGATCAAGACCCAATTCAATTTGCGTGATGGGGTGGCGGGCTTCTAAAAACGCCAACCATTCGGATAATTGCTTAAAAGTTAAAGGATTGGGATTCATAACCTTCCTATATGTATATTATTAGATTTGAATATTGTGACGATCAGACACCCCCATCATCACACCTAAAATGGTTTGCCAAGGCATGGCTTCAGGAAGGGCAAACTCGCTAGGGTAGTCGGCTTTGGCAAAATACAACCCGTTGGCCATAAAAGTGGGGGCAGCTAGACTGCGGTTTTTAGCCGCGATGACCGTTTGTATCCATTCTGGTTCACAGGATCCACGACCCACGGCAATAAGGGATCCCATGATGTTACGCACCATATGGTGTAAAAAAGCGTTCGCTTTAAACTGAAAAACAAACCAAATCCCATATTGGTCGATGCTTAACTGTTCTAAAGTCTTAATGGGACTGTCTGCTTGGCATTGACTGGCGCGAAAACTGGTAAAGTCATGCATCCCAAGAAAATGTTGGGCAGCCGCTTGCATTTTTGATAAGTTTAATGGTTCATGGCACCATCCGACTTGTCCGGCAAACAGTGCAGGGCGAACGCGATGATTGTATAACACGTAAGTGTATGATCTTGCTGTAGCACACATGCGGGCATGGAAATGATCGGGCACAGGTTTTGCCCATAACACAGCTATATCACTAGGTAAAAAGGTATTTAAACCTCGCACCCAAGCGTACGGCTCACGATTTTGAATTTGAGTATCAAAATGAACGACTTGATTTAACGCATGAACACCGCTATCGGTACGCCCAGCTGCATAAATTCGAATGTTCTCAATCGCAAAGGATTGCAAAGCCGCTTCAAGACAATCTTGAATCGTCTGACCACTAGGCTGCGTCTGCAAACCTTGGTAGCGGCTGCCATTGTATTGAAGTCCTAACGCAATGCGCATAAGCATCTTTTCGTGTGTGAATTAAGCACGATTATAAAGGAAAGTCGGCTACCAATTTGATATATGCCTTAATTTCACTAGCAGGTATTATTCGTCACAATGCTGCTGTTAGAATTGCGCGGACCTTACTCATTTTTTGTTCTTCTTCTATAAATTAAGAATAGTCCGTTAATGTCATGAGAGGCTAATCGCACAACTGATAACCTATGCCTATATGAACACTCATTTTAATATTTGACTGA